ATAATACACTGTTTACTTCAGACTGGCTAGGTACAATATAAATCAGTTTATATATACACTTCTTCCCTCATTTGAATATTTTTTTAATTTTCTTGGGTTCGGAAATACTTTTACATGGGACGAAATATACACTCCTTGTATAGTAATTTACTACCACCCTTTAAATTCAACATTACAATGCATGTACATATGACACTTGTTTTTACTCTGCATTTTTAAAATGGTAGGATTTTTTATATTGATACGCCTAAACATCAACTAATTTTGACACTATTGCGGTTCTGGAACGGAAATGTCCAAACTGTGTTAAAATAGTTTTTAATTACTATTCTTAACCATGTAACAAATGATCGAGTGGCCAGGAGGCAAGTAAATCCATCTCATTTGAAATTTGAAAAATCTTATTTATAGGAAATGTGTACATATAACATAAACATGTATAATTTTACTTTTATTGTTTACAAAGATGCAGTTAAACGTTAACGGAAATTATCAAAAAAAATGGAGACTTTCAGAGAGCTAGATCCCTCTGACTTTTTTTTTTCTTGGAAAAAAGGCGGATTGTTATCGCTCGTTTTTTTTTTAACATTACTTGACTAGAAATTTATAGTCGCAGATATTTTAACATTACTTGACTAGAAATTTATAGTCGTAGATATTTTAAAATTCTTTTTTTTTCTTTTGTAGACAAAAAATTTGTAAGTTAGGAACTAATTGGAAACGTACAGTACCACACTGAATGCAGACAAACTTAGGCAAAAGAAAATTCTATGTAATCCCATGCATTGTTGCATAATTGCACCGAGTACTTATTTCCTTTGGTTTTGATTTCCATATTATCTAAAACCAATTAGATTTGTTATTGCCTCCCTTTTTCTCAAAGACAACTTTAAGGAAGCTCTAAACACTAACAAAAAGTTCTTTTGGACTTGGAAAAAAAATATACCATATAAAGGTGGGCATGTTGAGTCTATTTAATTCATGTTCAACATAGGGTACCTGCCTTATTTTCGCAGGAAAAATGTTCAAAGACAGTGGACTATTCGTGAGCAGAAATAACTGTTGTTTACTTACAATGGGAAAATTAATGGAAAATATGAATTCATTTACTTATTCTCGGTGTAATATAATGCTAGGAATATTCTGTTCTATTACAAATTGTGTAATTAACTGTAAATGACCGTTTTTTCTATCTTACTTCTATATTAAGGGCAGATCACTCTAACTGCATAAAACTACCCTATAAGTAGAACTCTTTAGTGTGCAGTGTTTAGAGCTTTCTTTAAAACATTCATGTATTCATGCTTGAATAAATTATACACATGCGTGTGTGTGTCAGTGTTTAACTACATGTACGAGGGGTTATCAAAAAGTTCGTGGACTAGCGTCATAAAATTAAAACCACTTAAGATACATCAATGAATTTTTAAACATTAAATAAGCATCTTCTTTTCTATCCGTAAAATAAACTATAAATCATAAGTTTTATTTTTGAGTGAATCGTAAATGTTTTTGTAAGCAATGGTATGTCAAGGCGGCGCAACCTCGAACATGACGTATTTTCTACCTGAGTGTAACTGAGAAAAACTCTTCTAATATGAGCATTTGTCATCCGAAATTCCCATTATTTCACTCATGTGATATGATATAATTTTTCCGTAAAAGTTGCAATTTTTACCTGATTCTATATATTCTATGAAATTTTATCGTAAATTTGATAGGGAATGTCCAAACAATATAGGGGTTAAAAATGACGTCGAAGGGGGGTAGGGTGTCATTTTACAACATTCTATAAAGTTTCAGCCCCTGGAAAACCTGACATAGACCTAGAAAATGTTTAAACAGGCTACAGAGAAATAAAATACATCCAGAGTACTTGTGTTTAAATACCAAGACAGATTCAGCAAGAAAAGAGACACACGGTTAATGTCGATTTGTAGTCAGGGTGTCCAAAGTCAGACACGTCGAAAAGTGACGTTGATCATTGGTTGACATTGAACACCGGCAAGAAAATTATGCTGGCAAATCAAGCGAGGATCTTTTTCTATGTATAGATTTAATATTTACAATATTAATGCATTGAAATCAGGTGTTCATAACACTGTAAAGTCATATAAACAAGACGGGTTTAGGTCTTTACTTTACTCAAGAGAATCTCATTAAGATAAGTGTATTGAGGCAGAGGGAGCGGGCATAGAGAAATAGTGACGTTGTCGGACGTCATAAAAATAAACGGCGACAGCGCCGGGTGATCATATAATGCTCTTTTTATTTAATGATAATTTGGCAAATTATCAACATATCAAGTTGAAATTTCCAACACTTCTTCAACTTTTGTTGTTTTATGTTCCCTACAAATTTTGTAATCATCAACTACATAGTATTAATTTTATCGCATCAGTCCACGAACTTTTTGATAACCCCTCGTATGAAGAGTTTGGATTCAAACTTTTTTTTTCTTAGAAATATTTTTTTAAAATGTTTTTGATACTCATCAACAGATCTAGAAATACATGTATTGAGTTACTGGTGATACATATTCTATTTTTGATATATTTTCTCCAACTAATAACGGATCCCTGGATGGACACCGAGGTATGAAAAGATCTTACTATTTATAGATAACCGGACAGTCTATTTTCACAGATCATTGTTGTTTTCATGTGGCAGGGGCGTGTGCAGTGTGTTAGTGTAGACGAACGACAAAACTTTGGATAAAATATTCCCACTTTTATACTTGATTTTTTTCTGTTTTACTTGCCGTACGATCCTTACTATTTATCAAGCTTGAATTGTCTGCGTTTGGTAAGCAATGTAAAACGCTCAACCCTATATTTTCAGGGCTTAAATTTCACTTGCTTGTAAAATTGACGTTTTATTTTATTCGTCAATTTACGTTTTTTAAATGTTTTTTTAAAAGATAATTGAATCAATTTCACATGTAGCTTGTAAAATTTAGTGTAAGACAGTGCAGATTTGACTTTGGATAGGATTTGCACACTCGGGCTTCTGGAAACGTGTGCAACGAAGTACGGGATCGATCACATTAAAGCTGAACATGACTCGTAAATAGGCATACGCCATTTTCGATATTACTATCTACCATATCAGCACTGGGGTATACTCTTCGCATTCGTTACACCTGACTGCTTTGGTGTCACGGGTGTCGGCGTGGAATGGCGACACGTGTTCGTAGTGGTTATTGCGGTCTTTTGTATACTGCACTGACCTTTGCAACTGTTGTAAGTTTCTTTAGTATCTTACTCTCCTGTATAGAAGTACACAGTTATTTTTTCTCACTACCGAGTGCTGTATAGTTTACGTCCGTCTACACAGGTTTTGACTGATTACACTGAAAAGTGACTAAGTCAGCAGCTTTATATAGGGGTCCTCAGATATAGCGAGAGACCAAAAGAAAATGGCGGACAAATTCTTTTAACGAATCATGTTCAGCTTTAATAGGAATTGTAACTATCGCAGAGGATAGAAATATGACGGAAACCGCTTCGCTTGTAGCGTCTAATAGGTTGATGACTTTGCACAATAGCTTTACCTCAATAAAAGCAATTTTGCACAAAAATTTATTTCTTATATACCTTCCTTTTTCAACAATGAGGAAAAAGACATACTAGTATGTCCTTTAAAATGTGTACATATTAGTGAATACATGAAATTTAATCCCCACGAACCAATAAATTATATACAATCCAGGAAAATTGGTCCCAGCGAGTTTTGATGAACCCACAGTATATTACAGTATGTTGTAAAGACCCATCAAATATCTTATGCAGTCATCTAAACCCCTTATTTACATCAAAATAAATAATTATTACCAAGCTCACAGACAAAAAAAAAACAAAACAAAACAAAACAAAATCCTGCAGAAATGCAGGACAGTTTCATAAATGTATATTAAACGACGGGCTGTCTCCTTGCGGCCCGTAATAAAAGTGGTTTATGTGGCCGCAGGACTTTGCTCTCTTTAAACACGAACACGAAATTTCAAGAGACTGAAATTTTGATAACTCCCACTTTTAAATAAAATAACACCAGTACATAAAAAGAAAGCCCAATGAAATTAAAGTGTAAGTAAGCTTAATATATCGCTGTAAATCATTTTTTATTCAAGAGAACTTTATTTTTACGTCTACTTGCAAATATTTAATTTTAGCGTATAAAAGTATTATTAAATGTTATAAAGAACAATAACACGAAATCGAAAAAAAAAAAATACTTTTCAGTACAATACATCTATCTTGCTTTAAGGTACAAAGTATCCATCTCGTGAAAATAAGTTGTCACAGAAAATTTGGCGATTAATAGTAATCACTAAAATTAAAAAAAAAAGTTTTAAAAATTATCGATCTACACAAATTTTTAAAAACAATTCATATCTGTGAACAGGACATAAAACACGGACCCCTAGGAACTCAAAAGGTGGAATCAGATGTCAAACATGAGTAAACAACCACTTCTGAGCGGTCACACTCGCCGTGAGCCCTATGTGTCGATCAGATAGAGGGAACGTTCCTCTGTCAAACTAAGTATAAAACCAAAAATCTATCACTTGGTATAAAACATGTCTGCCAAAATACGACCCAATGAAAGGTTATATTTGCTAATATTTGCTATAAATATCATTATAACGACAATAGAATTTTACAAATCATCCAAATATGAAACAAAAGTGGCAGATTCTGTGGTGTCTTTTATTTCAAGTTTACCAGGATATGTCGAGTTGACATATGAATGAAAGTAACTATTGTTCATTGATAATACGTCGTCGATATATCTGAATGTAGGACTGAAAGCCACAGCAAGTGTTTTCTTCTTCTCATGTGGACGTTTTTGAATAACTGCAGTAAATTCTTTGTGAAAGCATCATGCTCATTTTTGCAAGCTATAGTAAAAGACTAAATAAACATTTGCATATCTTAGAAATAATGTGAACGCTCTTAGTATTGAGAAATCAATCGAAAGTACTGACACCATCGTCGACGTCAGTATATCAATTCAGCACCATTTTGTTGTAAAAGTTGAACAATACTGTCATGACCATGTAAGAATGTAATGTACAGTGGACTCTTATTGTCTTTATTGCATAAATTAACACAAGCATCATTTTTTAATAATAATTGGACTGTGCTGTGATGTCCATTTTCACAGGCTATGTAGAGTGGACTAGTTCCATCGTTGTCACATAAATTGATGTTTGCACCGTTGTTCAATAAATGATTCACAATGCTCTCATGACCATTGAAACATGCTATGTACAGCGGACTGCAGTTACCTTTATTGCATAAATTTACATCAGCACCTGAATTCAGTAGAAGTTCGATTGTGCTGCAATGTAAGTTTTCACAAGCTATCCAAAGAGGACTGACTCCATCTTTATCACATAAATTGATGTCGGCACCGTTGTTCAGTAACAGTTGTACCATGCTTTCATCTCCATTTCGACAAGCCATATAAAGAGGACTGAAGCGATCATCATCACATGAATTGATGCTGGCGCCATTGCTCAGTAACAGTTGCACTATTCTGTTATGCCCATATTGGCAAGCAATATGGAGAGGACTGTAATTGTGTTTATTACATAAATTTACGTCAGCCCCACTGTTTAAGAACAACTGAACTATGATATCATAACCATTTAGACAGGCTTTGAAGAGAGGACTTTCACCATTATTATCACAAAGATTGATTTCAGTGCTGTTTTTCAGTAACAGTTGAACTGTGCTGTTGTGTCCGTTCTCACAAGCAATATGTAGAGGACTGTATTTGAATTTATTGCATAAATTTACATCAGCTCCGCTGCTTAGGAACAATTGAACTATAAAATCATGTCCATTTCGACAGGCTTTGAATAGAGGACTTTCGCCATCATTATCACAAAGATTGATTTCAGTGCTGTTTTTCAGTAACAGTTGAACTGTGCTGTTGTGTCCGTTCTCACAAGCAATATGGAGAGGACTGTTATTGTGTTTATTGCATAAATTTACATCAGCTTCACTGTTTAGGAACAACTGAACTATGATATCATGGCCATTTCGACAGGCTTTAAAGAGTGGACTTTCTCCATCATTATCACAAAGATTGATTTCAGCGCCGTTGTTAAGTAAAAACTGCGCACCACTACTCAATAGCAGTTTGACAATGTGGTCGTGTCCATTTAGAGAGGCAATATTCAGAGGGCTGTTTCCATCATTATCACATAAATTAACACCAGCGTTATTGTGAAGTAATAGTTGGACTATCTTAACATTTCCGTTCTGACAGGCTATATAAAGAGGACTGCAGCCGTCTATATCACATAAATTCACATTCGCGCCGTTGTTCAGTAACAATTGAACTGTACTATCATGGCCAGTTCGACAGGCTTTGTGTAGAGGACTGTCTCCATTATCGTCGCAAAAATTGATTTCATTGCCTTTGACTAATAAAAGTTTAGCACCACTGTTCTTTAAAAGTTTGACAATGCTGTCGTGTCCATTTTGACAAGCTACCCACAGAGGACTGTCTCCATTCTTATTGCATAAATTGATATTGGCGCCATTGTTCAGTAATAGTTGTACCGTGCTATCATGTCCATATTCACAAGCTTTCCACAGAGGACTGATACCATCTTCGTCACTAAAATTGACATTGGCGCCATTGTTCAGTAACTCCTGTACTGTGCTATCATGTCCATATTTAGAAGATATCCATAGAGGACTGACTCCATTCTTATTGCATAAATTGACATTGGCATCATTGTTCAGTAACTCTTGTACCGTGTTATCACACCCATTTTCAGACGCTTCCCACAGAGGACTGACACCGTTTTCGTCACATAAATTGACATTGGCGCCATTGGTTAGTAATATTTGTATCAAACTGTCATGTTCATATTGACAAGCTATCCATAGAGGACTGACTCCATTCTTATTGCATAAATTGACATTGGCGCCATTGTTCAGTAATTCTTGTACCATTCTATCATGTCCATATTGACAAGCTTTATAAAGAGGACTGACTCCTTTTCTATTGCATAAATTGAAATCGGCACCGTTGTTCAGTAACATTTGTACAGTGCTATCATGTCCATATTGACAAGCAATCAACAGAGGACTAACCCCATTCTCATTGCATAAATTGACATTGGCACCATTGTTCAGCAACTCTTGTACCGTGTTATCACACCCATTTTCAGACGCTTCCCACAGAGGACTGACACCGTTTTCGTCACATAAATTGACATTCGCGCCATTGTTTAGTAATAGTTGTATAGTATTATTATGTCTATATTGACAAGCTTTAATAAGAGGACTGAGTCCACTCTGGTTGCATGAATTGATGTCGGCACCGTTGTTTAGTAACACTTCTACCGTGCTTTCATATCCAGGTTGACAAGCTATACACAGAGGACTGATTCCATTCTTAGTGCATAAATTGACATTCGCGCCATTGTTCAATAACTCTTGTACCGTGCTATGACGCCCATTTTGAGATGCTTTCCACAGAGGACTGACTCCATAACTATTGCATGAATTGACATTGGCGCCATTCTTCAGTAGAACCAGAACCGTGCTATCATGTCCATTTTCACAAGCTATCAAAAGAGGACTCATTTCATTTTCGTCACACAAATCGATATCTGACCCATTGTTAAGTAACACTTGAACAGTTTTGTCATGTCCATTTTCACATGCTATCCATAGTGGACTGATTCTGTCCCGATCGCATTGATTGATGCCAGCGCCATTGTTCAGTAACAATTGTACCGTGCTGGCATATCCCTTTTGGCAAGCTATCCACAGAGGATGTTTTCCATCGTCGCCACATAAATTGATTTTGGCGCCATTGTTCAATAAGCAAGAAATAGTTTTATTACGTCTTTCTCCTCCATCTGTCTCCTTTCCAGCCTCTCTTAAATGTTCTTCATCATTTCCTGCTGCCAAGATTAACGGAGTCCAAATATCACCAGCACTTAACATGTTGACGTCAGCACCGAGTCTGATTATCTCTGGAATAATTTCAAAGTTATGGAAGACCGAAGCAATGTGGATTGGATAAAATAATCCCCAAATTTCTTTTATGGCCGTTTTTTTGTATTCATGGCTCAGACTATCTAATAAGTTTAATCCTCCATTAGCACACACGGCAGAAAATACTAAAATATTCTGTAATGCTTTTTTGTCTATGTTTCTCATAAAAAATAGAGAAATTTCATCATGACAAAATGCTATAAATCCAATTAAGGGACATATTTCACCTCTCCAATCAAGAAAAAAAAGTCTTGATACGCTATAATCACGCAACGGTTTTTCTTTTAACTCTGACTTATCTATTAAAAATTTGATATCTAAAAAAATGTTTGCCAGATTTTCTGATGAATTAACATTGTCCTTAAATTTTTTGATCACACTTTCATTTCTTAAACATTGGTTAAGAACAACATCTACAAAATGTTCTGTTTGCATGTCCATGATAAACCTGTCCACAAGATCACCAATGTACTCTTCAGGCAGGTAAACAGTGAAGGGATCGCGGTCTTTCTCTTCTGTATCGTCTTCTATTCTCATCCGTCGTCGCAGAAAACCACTGTCTGCGTACTGTGTTGCCTCTTGAGGACAATTAATACCAAACACCAATGTTGTTATCTCCATAATAAAGTCGTGAAGGAATTGGAAAACATGCCCGACACATTTCACATAAGATCCTTTAAGTTCTTGGAAAGTACTGCGAAAGACCGAAATATTTGTGTTTTCTTTTAATTCACACATTCCTAAAATGTCTTTATATTTCTTCTTGGAATCATCATTCCTTACAATTGTTTCTATTTTCAAATTGTTTTTAAAAGCTACAATTAAAATAAGAGCGCAGAATTTCTTCTTGTCTTTGCTCTTCCAAATTTCAATTTCTTTTTTAATGAACCTGTACGGATATTTGAAGAAGTCAAGCCCATTTTCCTTGTAATTTGACTTAGAAAAAAGCTTACAAAGCAATGGGAAGTATGCTTCTGTTTTGATAATTTCAAAAATAATTTCTTCAGAAAGCTCTAGACTCTGTGTGTATTGATTTAGGATTGCTCTTTTCTCTACATCAGTCAGTCGATTTTCTTCGTTGTCAATTTCTACTATGGTAGATTCCTCAAATAAAATACCCTTCACTCTCTTATCATAAAAAACGCATCTTCTACAGGACACCAGTATTTTAACCTTCTTTAAGCAAGTCTCTATTGTATTTTGATAAATTTTCCATGATGTATACAACATTTTATCAAACGATTCTTTACCTAATGGATCATTGAGTACAAAAAGAGTCTCCTTTTCTGTCGAATACAAATTTAACTTCTCTTTAATTTCTCTAACTTCATCCACTGGTATGACATTACTTCCCCGATCTTTATACTTGAGTGCAATATGTTGAATAATCGCCGATTTGCCAGATCCAGAATTTCCAACAACTGTAACTAGGTTATGACTTTTAAGCTTTTCTTCGACGACTCCACTTGCTTTTGTAGGAATAAAAGCAGTGTTCTCTTCTCGCCAGTCTTTGAGAATCTCATCTATCATTGGTAGTCCTAAAAAAAAAAATGTCTTTCACATTAATGAAAACAGTCAATGCCAGATGGTGGCGTATAGAATAACCAGTATTCTCAAGAGCCTTTATTCATGATTAGTAGCTGCTACGAAATCAGTTTGTTCTTCCTTATTTTTACGACTGAGAAAACATCCTGCATATATACATAAAAAAAAGTGAAAAATATTTACAATTAAAAAACCGGCAACATTCGCCAATACTGGTAAGTAAATAAAAAATGTTTTCTCATTTTTCTATCATATTTCTAACGTTTTCACAAAATCAGTTTTCAAAAAACTATAATATAAGCAAATGAAAAAGCCCATGGGCCTTGAAGGAACCTTGAGTATCTGGCTATGACTTCGTCTGGTCATGGCTTTTGGCATATATGTCAAATAGTTACAGTTCGATGGCTCTTTTACTATTTTCATCGGGATTATCCCAGAGTTCAGGATTAAAGAAGATAAGGTAATATTAAAAAACGTATAAAAAATATATCATCTACTTACCGGTCGCCCGCGTGGAGCATTGGTTAGAGCGTCTGCTCTAGAGTTGCGAAGTAAGGAGTTGATCCTTACGTCGCGGGTTCGAATCCCACTGTGGGACGTTGAGACCGCTCCTTCGGACGAGACCGTATAAACTAAGGTCCCGTGTCGCAGTAGGTGCTGGCACGAAAAAGATAACTCACTGCTCAATGGCCGTAAGTGCCGAGTATAGAACAAAGTTTGCAGCTCTCCACCGGCAAGTGGTGGCGTCTTCATATGAGTGAAAAATTTTCGTGAGGGACGTTAAACAACAAACAAAAACAAATCTACTTACCTTATCTAAATTTTAATGCTAGCATGAAAACAGTTTTCCTGCTAAATAATCGCTAATACATATGATTTGCTATGCTGCACCTCTTGACACTTTTGCATAACAAATATAGTCTCATCCTGTGACCTTAACCTGAATGCGTTGGAAGAAATATAATATAGATTTTGTAGAAGGCGTGTGGCTCATATGATTAACATCAATCAATCGATTTACCTTATAAAAATTCAAAGGTGTATCTTATTTTAATAGATGGCCAACTTACTTCACTACTATGGGACTTTTTCCCTGAGTCAATTCGACCAAGGACCATGGAATTGTTTTTGTATCAATTTTGGAAGGGAACTCTTTGTTCAAATTCATCATAAAAATATATCAAAATGTAATATTGATTTAAATGTATGACATAACAACCCTACCCTATCATAAGTTTCAATTTATAGAATTGTGATCAGTTTAATCAGACTCACTCAAACAACATGATTAACAAAGGATTGCACATATAAGAAAATCTGATCATTAAATCTGAAAATAAGGAACAGTTATACGTGTAAAGATTAAATCTGATCCTCAGACACTCTAGGGGTGGGATCAGGGGCAAGGAGGAGTAAGCATCCTTTCATTGTTGACTGGTCACATCCGCCGTGTCCTCTTTATCAAGGTTAGAACAAAATTATGGTTGCAACAACCATATCAATATGGGAAAAAAACTACACAATGTCAACCTGTCACGCCTGTGAGATGTAGAAAAGGAGTATTTAAAACTAATTCTGATTTTAAAAAAAACACGCAAGAAGTGTATTTTTATTTGCGGATGAGTTAACCTTCACTGTTTCCCCATTGATAACATATACATTGTGGACATTCTTTTTCTCTTAGGATTCGGATTTTGAATTCATACCTTGCAAATGTAATTCCAAAGAAGACATCTTTTCCATAAGATCAGTATTATTTTTATAATCGGCTTCAAGTTTTTCAATTATAGCCTTTTCATTTTCTTCTTCTAAGGCCTGTCTTTGAATTGTACTCAGTCCAGACATTTCTTTGTGTACGTTTGCAGTCTTTGGCAGATATCAGTTATGATTGACCACGTGTCATTAAACTCTGTCTGTGAGGTAGAAGCCGAGCTTATGTGTCCAAACATGTTGTTTCTTATCAACCTTATCCTCTCAACGTCATCGCCGATCGTTACTTCTCCTACTGTCGGCATTGTGTTCCCACCCCAACCTTTTGTTGGAAATGGGATCTTTGCACATATGTTTCTAATCAGCGTATATAATAAGGTTATATCAAACTCTTTGTATCCTTTCTTTTTGGCCTGTTTAAGTCGAAGTTCTTGGTCTGGGCGTAATTTTTTATACACGTCGGTTAATTTCTTCACTTTGCTATATACGAGTCCAGGAGGTACTTCCATTTCTAAAATATCTCTGTATGCCTGTGTCAATTCTTCGTTTATCGCCATCCCGAGTTTAGCAAACCTAGAACGGTTACCAGGAGTTGGTGCAGAAGCCATTCTTTTAATTTTTAGTAGACCATTTCATAATCTGAAATATTTGAAATTATCATTCAGTATTTTATCAATTCTTAAGTCCTGTAAAACAATAAATGAATAAATTTTATTTATATGTTATAGCAAAATTTTGTTCTTCTCAAAAAAAAAAAAAATAAAAATTTCAGCCGATTCAAAAAGTTAATTGCTTTCTTGGATAAAAGTATTATACAGCTATCGAATTCTATACTTTAAAAGGCCTCAAAATCTAAAAATGGCAGGGAAGCCATTAAAGAATTTGAACCTTACAATCATTCAGTTGATACTTTTAATTACCAAGGATCTTTTTCTACTTTGTTTCATAGCTTTGTAAAATGAACATATGATCCATATATGTATTCAATAACTTTATAAGTTCTCAAATAACATTATTAAAATGATCTCTGTTAGCATTGTGATGTCAATCCGACTCAAGCTATTTTAAATAAAACTTCTGATTTCTCTGCCTTGATCGTTCCTGCAATGCTTTACAAAAACATTGATACTATTGGACACTAGCCATGTTTCGGGATTTTTAGCAGCTTAGACAATTGATTTCTTCATTTTACATAAAATCTGAGAAAAATTTTAATTTACTTTGTAATGCAATATAATGTCTATCTCACTTTTAGCAATTTCAAGCACTGTTTTCCTGTTTTCCAGTCATATCTCTGTCATGTAAAATCAAATATCACATTACTGTAGATTAGGATTTATCATGCTCCAAAACTTCCGTGTCACCATACATAAATTCAACCCTCTTAGTTTTCTGAGTGTACATTCTATCAACCAACTTTTCAATCATTCTATCAAACGGATTTCACAGTTTACTCCATACATGTACTCGTCAACTCGTCAAAATTTTGAATGGTCAAGTATTTACTGCTGATATCATTTGAAATTGTTTAAAAATTGGAAAAAATTATCATGTGTTGCATCTTATTGTTATAAGTAAATTAAAGCTATATGAAGTTGTTATTTTTTTTTCATTCGATGTTTATTGTGTCGGATTTCATTTATTACAAAGTTCATCAGACAATTGACAAAAATATTAGTTATTCCGGTAAGAGTCTAAGCTAAAGATAACAAGAGTAAGAAAAAAGATTGCAAGCAAAATTGTGATCACAATCTGGGAAAGTACAATTTTTGTTTACGTTAATTCAGACTTTTTACCTGAAATATTATATTTGTTTGAATAAATATCCTAAAAGAAAACAAGAAGGATATGGTATGAATTTAATTGAACACAATTAAAATCATTGTCCTCTTAATATTCAAAACAGAAGACCACTTTTTGCCTTGGAAAAATTTTATACCTCTGTTTCTTTGATAAACAGGCCTAACAGCTACTTATCGAAACCGTGTTTTTGTTTTAAATGTTACTGATATAGTTTACATGTAATTCTTTTATTTTTGTCTGGTTCTATTTAATGTAGCATCAGATGCTTACATGTAATCTAAATAAACAACTTGAATAAAAAGGAAAACTTCAGTATTTGCAACAAAAAATAGTACGTCATAATGAAATCATATGGTTGGTCACATAAACCATTTAAAATATATTACAACATCGACACACTTTCTTTAATATGAAAGATAATGAACAGTAATCATATTCAAAAGTCCAACAATACAAATCATAGGCAGAACAAAACATGGACCTCTGAAAACAGAGGTGGGATCAGGTGCCAAACATCTCCTATAGAAGTTACACCCAACATGTGACCAACTAACCATCTAATCCTAACCCCTCTGTGACCTCTGACCTAGAAAAAGTTTGTACTCAAAAACATTCTTTTAAATTCTGTAAAGCGAACAATGTGTAATTTCACATCAAATACTTCAAATTATCAATTTTACCGTTATTGCCATTGAACAAAGAAATAAAACAGAAAAACAAAACAAACATATATTGCAAGTTTACTCTCATTGCCTATATTTTTAGTTTCATTTCATTGATTCATAATCAACATTGTTTTTTTTTTTACCCAGAGAAGTAATTTTCAAAGTATTTGTACCTTTTGTTACATTTTTTTCCGTTTATACCGCCAATCTGTGAGGAGGTACAAATGTTTTCTATAAACCTTGATTGTACTATTCCATATGCAACTTATATTATTTTTTACCGTTTTTTTTTTTTTAATTTATAATCACACTTACTAGATTTGTATGTACGAAAGTTTATAATTTTCTTAAAACACATTTTATGGATAGGTGGTTGAATATTTTTTTGCCTTATTGGAAGAAAAATCAGTATTCATGCTAATATCTTTTAAAAAAATTCATATCAAGCAATACATGTAAATAAATTGGTATTTTCGGATCGTTTTAAAAATTACCAATAGTCATTAGGTAGGTTAAAAGCATTCCTGACTGTTGTTTAATCCTATTTATACGATGAATAAAATAGAAACAGCACAGAAGCCCTTCCCTATACACCGTTGCTTTGAGCACAACATGAGGATAACCGGAAGATGAGTTCATAATATAGTATTATAATGATTTCTAATTACGTTTTAGTTAAATATTTGTAAAGTGCAGCAGAACGAATTGCAAACTTACCAGGAAGAAATGTATTAAAATAAATCTTCCTACCTGGTATTGAACTTTTATATTCTTTCTGTCCTTTTACTTTGTAGGTGTAAAGTGTTAAATCAACACATTTCCAATTAGGAAAAGAGAAACATAAAGCTTAAATTTACTCTTATGTGTCTGTTGTGAAATTTTGCCTAACTCCTTTTTAGGTTAACACAATTTCACTGTTTTCCTGTTTTTTAGTCAAATATTTGTCACGTGATTCATACAAAAAGATGCATGTAGATATTGTTTTCTTTCAGTCTCATTCTTTTCAATTTTTTTGTTTGATCAAAAAATTCTAATATATATTAATCATTTAACCGATGTTTCGATCGATATTTTAAATTAAACAATCAAATAGATATTTTCATGGCATGACATTTGACTCATGACTACAAACTATTGTTCACTGCTGAACCGTATTCTCAAATAGCAAGCTGAAACATATTTAAGAATAAAAACAAAAAAAAACTCGTTAATTAACATTGTGGTTAATGAAAAAGAATGCTGAAAAAAGTTTAAGCTAAATTTTAGTTGAATAACTTGAATTCCAATTTCGGGATGTTCAAAGTTTGTTAAGGAGAATTTAGATGTTAATTTTTTCTAAAATGTTACAATTTGGCTGAATGAAATATAAAGGATATGAATGATTTAACCCTTCACCTCCCTACCCTACCCCGGAACAAAGATACAGAATAGACAAGGACACATTACTAGTTTAATTGAATGTCATTAAAACTTTATTTTTTTACTTTTTTTTAACATCAGAACAATATTTAGGATGACAGTCCCTTTTTTCATTGGAAAATTTAAGTCCCCTTAGTTCTTTGTCTTTAAAAAAAAAAACAAGCATACCATCTATTTATCAACATTGAGGTTTGGTATTTAGATCATAGTAGTTTGGTTAACATGCTATTTATTTAATTTATTAATACGCGGTATTTTTGCAGTCAAATTCACAGAGGAGCAATTACTCATTATAATTACAAAAGATCATGATAGCTGAATTGCTGAATCATGTCTCAAAAGTAAAATACTTATTCCTTGTCTAAAGTTTTACATTATAGATGAAAATTGTTAACTCAACACAGTGCAAAGTAAAGTGAATTTTAAAACTAAAACTTAATTTTACTTTGATGTGTCTGTTGTGATATTTTTCCTTGTTTTGCTAACATAATTTCAAGCACGGTTTTCCTGTTTATCAATTATATATCTGTCACTTGATTCATACAATAGTTGATTGTAGATTTTGTTTTTGTCAGTCTCAACGCTTCGTGTCACTATCTTTAATTTGAAGTCTTTGTTTGAATAGGAATTTCAACAGTTAATCAATAAACGATCTATAACCCACTACCCCCCACCACACACACACACAAACTTAAAAAAATAATAAACATAACTAAGATTTCAAAGGAGACGAATTATATCATATACTTGTATCAGTATCTGAAAGTTGTAAGTTTTAAACCCCGATATTTTTAAATATAACATTATACACACACATGTACATTGACTTACAAAGGTGATTCTGGTTTGGTTTGTCATACACTCGAATTATATACCACCTCTACAAACAAATGTCATGACGTTTCTCAGATGATCAAAGTACAAGTAGATTTTTGAATTTTAAAAATGTCAGAATAATGAGAATATATTTCAGTATCTAAGGGAAATAAATCTGAAAACAAAATAGTGCCTTTACTTTTTCAAGATTATACATCAATAAATGATTACGTCAATAAATGATATTTGATTCACGGTGCCATCATAGTTTTAGAGACGTGGTTTAAAAGTAAAGACATGTAATTTATTGGTATTAAGAGTACAACTAGCAATTGTATATAGTAATATGGAGGTTAGTCTTTGATGTCTAGCGATGATCTACAGGAAATTATCGACAATACAAGGTTAAGCCAGACAATAATTCCTAGTTTATAATTAACTGCTCTGAATTGAAAATTGAGAAGCGATAGATTTGTTCTGTTAGAGAGATTTTTGGTTCCTGATTTTCTTGATAATAATGGAAAATCTTACTCTCTAAGTTTAACAACCTTATACTTACAATAAATTCAATAAAGTGGATTATAATTCTTAAAATGAATTATAAAAATATTAAGAATGTCTTTGTTGAACAGCAAAGAAAAATAATTTGAATTTAAAAAGCAACTAAAAAAATGTAACTCTGTTAAGACACTGATACTTTCTAGCCCTTCTATTGCAAAACCAATCACAATGTTAATTAGTAAATGATTGGAACAATGTGAATTTCAAACAAAACAAAAAACAAAAATTTAAAAAAGGCACATCTTGTACCACATCATAAGAAAAGCAGTCAGTTGGAAGTTGGTAACCATGGAGCTGTAAACATTCAACCAGCAATTTCAAAGACTTTTGAGAGAGCTATATTTACACAGTTAGCAAAGTTCTTTGAAAATA